CCCAGATGCCAGCCATCTGCCTCCAATTTTCACAACCAAAAATGTTTCCAAGCATTACCAGCTGTTTCTAGAGGTGTGTTGGTGGTGAGAGGAGAGTGCAAATCACCCCAGGTTGCAAACCTATTACTGTAAAGTTAGCCTGCTTTCTTCAAATTAAAGAAACAAAATATTTCAGTTAGCATTTAATTTTTTTTCTTTTAAAACTAAAAGAAAGCCCGGTGCTGGTGGCTCATGCCTGTAAGTCTAGCTACTTAGGAGGCTGAGATCTGGGGATCATGGTTCAAAGCCAGCCTGAGATTCTTCTCTCCAATTAATCACCAGAAAACTGGAAGTGACACTGTAGTTCAAAGCAGTAGTGCCTAGCCTTCAGGAAAAATGCTCAGGGACAGAGCCGAGGCCTCAAGTTCAAGCCCCACCACTGCCAAACAACAACAACAAAAACCTAAAAGAAATATTGAGCTAAAGAGAGGCTTCAGAGTCATTTCCAGATTAAATACTTCATTGAAATATTCACTCTGTGTTATAGTCTCTCTCTCTCTCTCCTTCAATATTGGAGTTTAAACTCAAGGTCTTATACTTGCCCACATATGACCACTTGAGTCAATTCCTACCCCTGAGTACTACCTTTGTTTGTATGTGCTAGTTCTGGGGCTTGAACACAAGACTCAGGCACTGTCCCTGAGCTTTTCAAATGCTCAAGGCTAGCACTCTACCACTTGAGCCACAGCTCTAATACTGGCGTTTTTGGGTTTTTCTTGGAGGTCAGAGTCTCATGGACTTTCTTGCCTGGGCTGGTTTTGAATTGCAATCCTCAAATCTTAGCCTCCTGAGTAGCTAGGTTTACAGGCTTGAGCCATGAGCGTTCTCAGGGCCCCTAGACCTTTTGTTGCTTTTTTATTTATTATTTTTTTAAAATTTCAGGTAAGATCTCATGTTTTTCCTCAGTTCAAGCCACAGACCCATAGCTTTCTGTGAATTTAACTGGGATTACAGACACATCCCACCACACTCAGCCTGAGAAGGGGACTAGATAGACTTCTTTTGGCTTAGGCTGGCCTCAAACTGCCGTCCTCCTCAGCTCTGCCTCTGCAGTAGCTGGTATAACAGATATGAGCCACTGCACCAAGCTATTCTAGCTTCTTTTCATTCTCCAAGGGATAATTTTAATACCTTACTTTATAACAGATTTTTTTCTTAAACCCTTAAGCTAAGCTGTTCTTTATCCGTAATAGCTTTTTTTAAAAAAAAAAATCTTGTTTTCCCAGACACTACAAAATTCTTTCCTGTACATTGTGTTCTCTGAAACACAGTTTTAGGACGGATGTTGTCATCCTTATTCTGCAGAGAAGAAAAATAAATGGTGCCAGAACTTGGAGTATTCTTGAAAATATGTGGGTTTTACATTGAGAAGGCCTCTGTGAAAGGAGAAGCAAAGAGGAGGATGGGAGGATGCAGATGTGAGGAGAGAAAACACAACTGGAAGGACCTGGCAGGTCAACATCTGGGACTAGTGTCCCTAGTGCATGTCCACTTACAGAACCCTCCCCCCCACACATTCATTTAGAATCTAGAATCTTGGGGTCACAGCCTCAGGTCTTTCTTTTTTTTTTTT